AGGAAAGGAGGGACTAATGACTGTTGGTTTGGATCCAGTGACAAATCCTGGAGTCTGTACTGCTCTGATAACAGATTCACTGTCCGTCACAATAACAACAGAACTGTTATACCTGCCATCCGTTCATCCTCTAAGAGAGCAGGAGTGTATGTGGACGTGTCGGCCGGCACTCTGTCCTTCTACAGCGTCTCTGACACACACACACTCACACACTTACACACATTCAACACTACATTCACTGAACCCCTCTGTGCTGGATTTAGGGTTTATCCTGATTCCTCAGCGTCTCTGTGTGATCAAACGATAGAGAGACTCTCTGTAAATCCTCTTTCTGATGTTCACATGCACACAAACTCATCAAATCTCACGTCATTACATTTGTATTAAAAAGAAAAGTTCACAAATGAAATGTTATTTAAATGTTACTGCTGTGAGTTATTATTTTAATAAATGCAAAATGCTTAAAAACACTAACTTAATTAGATGAATACATGGCTTTAATAAATAGAATATTGATTACGGTCACACAACAGAAGAGGACAGAAAGTTAAGTGACATATAAAGAGAAGTTTATTGAACGGCTGACAGCACAAGAACGAGAATGAAGTAACGGTAAGTATGGCAGTTCAATGGAAATGGATATGGCTTAGCTGAATGGTAACTGAATGTCTTTCTTTCTTACAGATGTAGGAACGAACACACGGATGGCAGGTAGTAGATGACTGAAGACAGGATCCTGGACTGTAAGTGATATACAGGTGAGTAGCAGGTAAGGTCTCTGTAGTGTAGGAACGACGAGACCAGACAAAGGAGTGCAGGTTGTGTGTGTCTTTATAGTGAGTGTTGATGAGGAGGTGCAGGTGTGGTGAATCAGAATCCTGGGGAGAGTGAACGAGTGGGCGGATGTAGTGTTTGACAAAAACACAATTTTCTCAGATTTTTGTTCAGAATATTGCTTTTTTTATTAAACTTGCACATATTCAAGTGTTGATAAAAAAAATAATGAAGTCAGATTTTTTTTTTTTTTTTTTAAGCAGAGGCTTTTACATGGAAACAGTTTCAAGAAAATTATTATTATTTTTTTAAATGCTGGTGGTGGCTGGCAACTTAAAAAAAAAAAAAAAAAAAAAAAAAAAAACCCCTGTTATTTTTCTGTCTGCACTGATTTAACACTTGATTCACTAAATTAATTCTGTTTTTTTAATTCTGAATTCTGAACACTCACAGTATCGCTGCTGAACACAGTTGAACTCTGCTGTAACTCTGCTGCCTTGGTCACTAGAAAATCTGCATCAGCATCTCTTCTTCTGAAATGAAGATGTCTTTTCTGCTTTATTAGGTGTCCAAGATCTTTATATGACAGGAGCAATACAGCAGCTCTCACTCAAATATCTCTAGCAAATAACATTCACCTCACTGTCTGCTGAGTTTAATTTATACATTTACATTAATATAGTTTTTTTTATAATGTGAAACTAGTCTTTTGACATTTTATATGAGGCTCTTACTCTAAAAGGTTTGAGTTACAAAGAGAATCAATATTTCTGTAACAGAATTTGTGTTAATTTAAATAAGCCCAGACCCCAACAGCCTAGAAGTGTTAATTATTTAACCCTTTATTTAAAAATTTTTGTAAAAAAAACAGCCACATTTTAACAGTAACATTCTGTTTTCCATTAAAACAGTAATATACCATAGATTAGAAAACAGTGCATTCTGGGTAATACTGCAATATACTGTGAATTATCAGCTGCAGAGACTGTTTCAAATCACACCCTACTCCCTCACTCACTATTCCCTACATGAGTTTACTAATATAGTCCACCTGACAGAGAGAATGAACACTAACGAGTGAATTCAGACACTGATGAACAGCTGCTGGGAACAAGCAGATTCACTGAAGAAAAGAGAAACAAGAGAAACACAACTGCAGTTTTAAACAACTCCACAAACAGCTTTACCAGCTTCACTCGTTACTAACCAGTGTGACTTTATTTCTGTCAGACGTCTGCAGAATTATTATTATTATTGAGAATTGACAGAGGTTCAGATGCTGATGTTTTATTGTTTGGTTTGATGTCATTGTGGAGATCAGAGCTTGCTTTAGTTGGGCTCCTGACCCTTGACCTCTGAACACTAGATTCTCTATGGCTGCAGTAACTGTCATTAAGATATATTTGTTATGGCAAAATAAAGCCCAAAAGAAGTTCAATGGAGCTTATGAGCATAGCTAGCTAACCATGCTTTTGGGAAACGCAGCCCTGGTTAGTAATGTGAAGCTGGTGATGCTGATATAGGAGTTGTTTAATCAGATCTTGAGAGATTTAATGTCTTTAATTTCAGTTGATTTCATCAAAGGCTGTGGCTGAAGTCAGTTGTAGTTTTTTTCTTTCCTTCACTGATTCTGCTTGTTAACAGCAGCTGTTCATCGCTAATGCTCAATCATCATTTAACTAATCACACAATCATCTCATTAAATTCAACACTGCTTCAGTCTTACTCGAACACTCTGTAGTGTGCACACTTATAAGTGTTCATCTGAAACTAAGGACTTTGCTGTGGGGTTTAAAAGGTTATAGATCTAAGATGAAAAAAAAAGTATTTTAAAAGTAATAAACTGTAATTTATGGCAACAAACTGCAGAAAAACTGTAATTTACTGGCAACCCTGCTGCAGTAGATTACCGTAAAATCAAGAAAAAACAGCAATAATAAAAAAAAAAGTTATACAAAGTCATGAACTGATAAGGAGAATGAATCTGAAACTGAACTGTATTGATGTGTTTTCTGTTAGTTTAATTCATTAGTTTGGTGCTGAAGAGTAGAGCCTGTGCTTCAGTATCACTGATGTTCTGCTGCATGTGGCTTTATTTAAAGGCAGTGACTGTGGAGTTGCTGATACACTAATGATCTCTTTACTAAGTGCTTTAACACACACGTGTGCTATCGCTAGCTCACGACGAACTGCAAAGATCTGAGCAAAAGTCCTGTTTTTCTCTGGAAGAGTCAAGGATGTGATCTGTCCTTCCGCTGGCTCCTTGAGAATGACATGAGCTCCTCTTCATTTTGATCAATTTCACAGAAAACAAGACTTCTTATCTGGCATTTTGCTTCTCAAGTAAATGTATCTCTTTTTTTTTTTCTAAAGGCTTTAGACATCTGCACTGGAAAACGAGAAAATGCTGTAGAAGAGCTTTACCTTTAGAAGTAACTGTTCATAAACCTGTCTGCAGTATCTGTATCATGAATGCAGCTGTCAGTTTTTCTTTCTTTATTGTCTTTTCATATCTAGACTTTCTGAGATGTTTTCACTGTATTTTAGAGCGTTGTCCTCTGCGCTTCATCCTTCAGTGTCCAGCGCCTCTGCAACAGCTAACTAAGCTCATGGAAATCAGCTGATGGAAATTATGCTCCTGAAATATGAACCTGCTCACTTGGCTCCTCATTTGGCAAAATGTCCGGGATTCCTGTGTAAGGAGACACAGCCTGCTCCCTCGGGCGAGGATGATGAAACACTACGTCCAGAGATAATGTAGTCCAGCTGGGTCATGATCTGTTGTCATTGGTGTCAATTGATCTAATTATCCTGAAACTTTCGTGATCTAAACGTGAAATATTTTTCACCAGTTTCCATAAAAACTATGCATCAGGAGAAATGCAAAAGTTATTCATCATTTTGAGCAGTTGTATGAGTTATATTTAGATCATTGTGCTCATCAAGTCGTCTCAAATGTAATGTGTGAGGTGCATTTTGAAATGGTGATACTTTGATGTAAAATTGTGTCAATTTCAACAGGTGATTTTAGTTCAGTGAACAAATTATCTTAGGTTTATGTGTATTGAATTCAAGCAATTGTAAAAAAAAATAAAAATAAATAATGTTAAGGGTTTTGAAAAATGTGCGTTTTGATCATCGTAACATGCAGTGAACATACAGAAAGCTTTAATGCATACAAAGAAGATGCTTAAAAAGAAAAAGTCACTAAACACTGAGAGTGTCTTTATGCTGATTTCAGCTCTGAACACAGAAAGCAAACAGCGTTCCTGCATCAGACAAACACTGACACGACTACAGAACTAAAAACTCTACAGAAATGTGCAGTGTATGTTAATTATCTGCAAACACTTTCATTTAGAAATTATAAATGGAAGGAAGTGGAAAGTAATGAACTGAAATAGGAAATAAGCAGATGGATGTAGGTAAGGCTTTAAGTTTTTACGTGAGACTAATAAAGCATCAGCTGAATGTGTTTGATCATTTCTGGCTAGTATGAAGCTTAAATGTCTTGCATGGACGGGGTTTATTTTGCTGACGCTCGAGGCCAATAGCATTGACATCACATATAGGAAAGATCATGGAAAGAATGATTACGGGAAGATGAGCATTTTATTTGGAAAGTAGAGGAGTTTTATCAGCTCATCCGAGTGGTTTCAGGAACTCTGTGGACTCTATTATGTCTGGAAACAGACTTTCAGAAAGCTCAAGTCAATAAAGAGTCAGAAATGGCAGTTTTCTTTGACCTCAAAACAGCAAATGATATGGTTTGGAAAGAAGGATTAATGATTAAACTAGATATGATAGCAATAGCAAACAGAACTTATAATTGAATTAAAGACTTCTTATTTGATCAATTTCTTCAAGTCAGAATTGGGAAAGTCTTCAGGAAGCTATATTACTAGATAACGGCATTAGTTATGATAAATATGATGCATTTTCTCAAGCTCAAGGAGTTATTGGCCGATCATCGATGGAGCCTTGTGGAAAAGGGGAAGGAATATTAATCATATTACATGAAAAATGATCATATGCAGTAGAAAAAAACCCCCAAACACTAATGTTGACTAGGAAAGGAGGCATTGAAACACAGATAAAGATGTTAAAGTCTTTAGGTTTCTGTGTGTGTGGTTTGATGCAAAGTTACCGTGGAATGAAGATCTTCATAAGACGGTCAGTAAATGCAGAAAGATTGTAAATGTGATGAGACGTCTAACAGGGTCAGAATGAGGAGCGATTATAGATCTGCAATGAACAATATTCATACAGCACTGATTAGATCATTCTCCAACAGTGAAGGAGCTGAACAGAAGTGGAGAGAAGAGACATAGATCAGAAAGCATGTTGTTTGTAGAGACTCATGTTCAGCGTTAATGTCACTGCAGTCACAGCAGACGGGATACAGTCAATGAAATATAACAACATCTGTACAAACACTTTGAAACGCTTCGAAGACTTAAAGTTCAGTCATTCATCAGTGGACCACTCCCAGCAAGGGCAATTAATATGTTTTCACGTTTGATTGGGCTGAACACATGGCTACAAAGAATCTGCAGCTTAAAAGAGTCAATTTCATCAACAACTTCAATCTTTTCTGGGGCCATAGACAACTGTTTAAACCGGATAGCCTCCACCTAAACAAACTTGGTGCAAGAGTGCTAAAGGACAACATCTACTTCTCCCTCCGTCATCCTTCAGCAGTGTGTGCCAAACTACTCAACCTGAATGGCACACACACACCTGGACAGAGTGACGACAGGCCTTCATATCAGCTTCCGAGTCATCATGTGGTTGACACATCCAACACGGACACTGATAACACCACACAGCCACAACAAGCACTGCTCATGGAAACTATTCCAGCTGAGCCCTGCCCACAGAGCTCATCACAGACAGACTGTGACGTATCAGAACAGCTCCAAGACTCAGCATCCAAGGACGACTTTCTGGAAAACAGCCAGGGAAGCCAGGACAACATATCACAGCCACCAGAAACAACAGAGCCAGAGCCCCGCTCACCAGACACATTATTCCTCTCTCCAACATCTCCACTTCTAAGCTTCTCACAGAAAATGGAGGAACTGGTTTATGCTGGGACCAGACTCTCCCACTCTTTTGCTGCAAGCCCCCAGATATCAACTAAAAAAACACCAAAGCCTGTGGGCCCAGCTCGTCCTCCTCCTGTGAGAGCTCTCTGGCCGCTGCCACAGCGCCAGGGCCCAAACCCTCCATCTGCTGTAGGTGAACCAAAAACAACTGATAGCAGCTCTCAGTGATATGTGTTGGGTCCCCGCTATAATAGCAGCAACATTCACAAATGTTTACAGAACAAGCGGGAACCCAGTGTGCCTGTAG